AACCGCTGAGCCACCCAGGCATCCTCTATATTGATTTTAAATAGATGGGGCACCTGGGTGGCTCAGTCAGGTAAGCATCTGACTCTTGATTTTGGCTCAGATCATGATCTCAGGGAGGAGAGATCTGGCTCTATGCTCAGTGGAGAGTTTGCTTGAGATTCTCTCCTTCTCCCTCTGCTTTTCCCCTCCAACTCCCCACTCGTGCATGCATGCACTCACTCTCTCTAAAATAAGTAAATAAATCTTAATAAATAAATATACATATTTAATAATGCAATATTACAATAAATATATATGTGCTTTTTCAAAATATATGTTACAATCTAAAATAATACCACAGAAGTACCTGAGAGTGCGTCATGCCCCTTCAGACCAGCTGTTCCATTAGATTTCCAGGGTCATAGTCCCAGTTTAAAGCAGTAGTTCTTCTGGAAGAGAGTGGTGCTGGGCTCTGGCCTTCTCACAGAGAGAGATCAGGGACTGGGTCAGTATTGTGGGCATGTGTATATCTTCCCAAGTTCTCTTACAGTCCTTGCTGGGACTCCCTGACTTATTTTGGTTGGTACCTATTGCTACTTCTTTTACAAAATACACTTTGTAGAACTGATTAGATTACCTTGTTTATTTAATGTGAGTTTGTGCCTTTTTGTCTCAATCTTCCAAAACAGGTATAGTGGGGGGAAATAGTCTAACAAAATCCTAGACAGGGACGCCTGGGTGCCTCAGGGGTTGGGCGTCTACCTTTGGCTCAGGGTTTGATCCTGGGTCCGGGGATTGAGTCCCACATCAGGCTCCCTGTTGGGAGCCTGCTTCTTCCTCTGCCTATGTCTCTCCACCTCTCTGTGTCTCTCATGAATAAATAAATAAAATCTTTAAGAAAAAAAATAAAATCCTAGACAGAGGAAAAATAAATAAATAAATAAGTAAATAAAATAATACCACAGAAAAGTTAAAGGTAAAAGTAAGAAAGATATTTTATGCAAACATTAATCCAAAGTAAGCTGGTATAGCTATACAATAATATTATAAAGTAGACATTAAGGAAAAAGCATTATTAGAAATATAATGTGGTATTTCACGATAAATAAAAACAGTAACTTATCAGGAAGTTGTAACAATTCTAATTTTGTATACAACTTACAATAGACTACAAAATATTGAGAACAAAGGAGTTGCACAAACTGCAAGGAATAATAGACAAATCTACAATCACAGTAGGAGCCATTATTATCTTTTAATATTTTATTCATTTATTCATGAGAGACACAGAGAGAGAGGCAGAGACACAAGCAGAGGGAGAAGCAGTCTCCATGCAGGGAGCCTGATATGGGACTTGATCCCCAGACTCTGGGATCACACCCTGAGCCAAAGGCAGATGCTCAACCACTGAGCCACGCAGGTGTCCCATGGAGCCTTTACTACATCTGTCAGTGTCTAAAAGAATAAGGAGACAAAACTTAGTAAAGGTATACAACATTTAAACAACATGACTAACAAAATTGAATCAATTGATGTATATGGAATATTTCATGCAACAACCGCAGAATTCACTTTTGTTTCATGTAAGTAATGAATATTTAATAAAAATGACAATAACTTGGGTCATTAAGCAAGCCTCACCATATTTCAAAAGATTGAAATTATACAGAGTATGTTCTTTGAGCAGAGAACAGTTAACAGTCAACAACTTTTTAAAAACTACAAAATTAAAAAAAAAATAAAAATAAAAAAAATAAAAACTACAAAATTCCCAAACATATAGAAATTAGGTAATATACTTCTAAATATTCCATCAGTCAAAGAAAAATAACAATGGAAGTGAAAAAAATATTTTGAACTACATAAAAATAAAAACTAAAACTGTTAGGTAGGAAAATTATAATCTTAAAGGCTGAAATTTATAACTTTAGAGAAGAAATACTTAAGGATCCATCTCAAGAACTTAGAGGAAAAAAAATTAAACATGTAGAAAGTATAAAAAAGGTAATGATAAAGTAAAGAGAAAAAATTAATGAAAAAATGTAGAGTCACTGAAAAAAATACTAAAACTGATGAGTGCATAGCAAGACAGATCATGCATATGAAACAGAAACAAAAGCAAAAAGGGTACATATTACTTCTCTCAGGCTTGGAAAGAGGAACATCACTATGGATCCTACAGACATTACAAAGTTGAAGTAAAAATATTTTAGATAACTTAATGTAATAAATTTGAAAATTTAGATGAAAAATTTCTAGAAACAACCCAACTTATAACAAGTGACACCAAAGAAATAGGAAATTTGAATAGTACTATATTAACCAAAGAAGCAAAATAGTGATCAAAAATCTTCACACAATAAATATCCAGATTCTGGTGATTTCACCAGCAGTATATTTTCCCAAAAGTTTAAGGAGAAGTAACACTAATCATATACAAACTCAGAGAACAGAAAAAGGATCCCCAAACCTGAGAAGTTCATTACAAGAAAAAATTACAGACTAGTCTTTCTCTTATCAAAGATGAAAAATCTTCTGGGGCACTTGGGTGGCTCAGTTGGTAAGTGTCTGACTCTTGATTTCAGCTCGGGTCAACTTGGGATCATGAGATGGAGCCCTGAGGCAGGTTCCTTGCTCAATAGGCAGTCTGTTTGAGTTTCTCTCTTCTTCTTCCTCTGTCCCTTCCTCCTCTCTCTCTCTGTCTCAAATAAATAAATCTTTAAAAAAAAAAAGATGAAAAAAACTTCTGAATTAAATATTGGCAAAACAAATCCAGTAATATGTATATATAATATATATATATTATATATATATATTTAAAGATTTTATTTATTTATTAATGAGAGACACAGAAAGAGAGCGCCGAGCGGCAGAGACACAGGCAGAGGGAGAAGCAGACTCCACGCAGGGAGCCTGACATGGGACTTGATCCCGGGTCTCCAGGATCAGGCCCTGGGCTGAAGGCGGCGCTAAACCGCTGAGCCACCCGGGCTGCCCGATCCAATAATATATTAAACATAAAATGTGTGTTTATTTCAAGCATTCAAGATTGATTTAACACTAAAATCTCACTGTATACCCAATTAATAGTATAAGTGAAAATGTATATATTCATCTTTGTAGATACAGAAAAGGAATTTGATAAAACTCAACTTCATTCATTATTTATTTATTTTTAAAAATATTTTATTATTTATTCATAAGAGACAGAGAGAGAGAGAGAGAGACAGACATAGGCAGAGGGAGAAGCAGGCCCCATGCAGGGAACCTGATGGGGGACTCCATCCCGGGATTCTGGGATTACTCCAAGCCAAAGTCAGAGGCTCAACTGCTGAGCCACCCAGGCGTCCCACATTCATTCATATTTAAAAACTCTTAGCAAACTAGGAATTCCCTCTCTTTTTGGTATTCTTTTATTTTGAAATAATTTTAGATTTCTAGAAAAGTTGCAAAAAAGAGAAAGAACTCCTCCTGTATTACCTTCACCAAGATTCTGTAATCATTTACATTTTATCACATTTGTTTTATTAATGTCACTGTGTCTATATTACTTTTCTGAGCTATTAAAGAGTAAGACATGATATCTCTTTATCACTAAAATACTTCAGTGTGTATTTTTCTTTTTTAAGATTTTATTTATTTATTCATGAGAGACACAGAGTAAGAGAGAGACATAGGCAGAGGGAGAAGCAGGCTTCCTGTGGAGAGCCCAATGCAGGACTTGATCACAGGACCTGGGGATCACAACCTGAGCCGAAGACAGACACGCAACCACTGAGCCACCCAGGTTCCTCTAGTGTGTATTTTTAAAGGACAATCCATTTACATAACACAGTAAAATTACCAAAACTGGGATATATAATGTAATGTAATATAATATAATATAATATAATCTATAGACCTTACTAAATCTCACCAATTTTCCTAATACTATTTTTTTGCCATTAAAAAGAACCATTTTTTTGTTTCAGGATCCAATCCAGGATTACACAGTACATTAGTTGTCATGTCATTTTAATCTTTTAAAATCCAAAATAGTTCATTATCTTTACTTTTTATTTTATGACCTGACATTTTGAGGAGTACAAGCTTGTTATTGTGTAGAATGTACCTCTACTGGGTTCAATTAATGTTTCCTCATGAATAGATTCAGATAATGGGTTTTTAGCAGGAATACCAAAGAAGTGGTATTGTACCTCTGACAATGTCTTACAACAGGATGCCCATGGTTTGTCCCATTGTTGGTAATGTTGACTTTAATCAACCAATTAAGGTAATGTCTATCAGGTTCTTATATTGTAAAATTACATTTTCCTCTTTGTAACTAAAAGTATTTTACGTGGAGATATTTTGAGAGTATGTTAATATCTTGTTTTTCATTAAATTTCACCCACTAATTTTTAACATCTTTTGATGATTCTTTCCTGAATTAATAATTACTCTGATTACAAAATAATTTTCCAATCTAATCATTCCTTATATATTTATAGTTAGAATTCCAAAAATGACCCAAAAATGGGTCAGAGACTTGAATGGGTACTTTAAAAAAGAGAATATCTAAGTGGCCAAGAAACACAGCATAAGTACAAGTTAAAATCAGAAGATACGATACAACTGGAACTCTCTTCTATGTTGTTGGTGAGAATATAAATTGGTATACGAGTTGAAACCCAGCAATTTCTAAGAAAGCGGAATCTGTGCATAACCTCTAAGCCAGCAATTTCAGTCCTATTTGCAGTGGCCAAAATTTGGAAACAACCCAGAAGTCCTCCCATAGTAGAATAGATACATAAATTATGTATATCTGTGCAATCCAATGCTACACAGAATGAGAATGGATGAACTGTTGCTATACATGCATGAAGTTTATAGACATGCTGACTGAAAGAAACAGTACAGAAAAGGGTGCATTTGTTTAAGGTTCAAAAACAGAAGAGATGTTGCGTCCCTGCGTGTGTCCGCCCGAGACCCCCGAGCGCCAACCCTAGTCCCCCGCGTGGTCCCATTTGTGCTCCAACAAGATGAAAGAAAGTATCATGAACCAGAAGAAACTCACCAAACTGCAAGCACAGGTGCACATTGGTGGGAAAGGAACTGCTCCCCGAAAGAAGAAGGTGGTTCATAGAACAGCTACAGCAGATGATAAAAAACTTCAGTTCTCCTTAAAGAAGTTAGGGGTAAACAATATCTCTGGTATTGAAGAAGTGAATATGTTCACAAACCAAGGAACAGTGATCCATTTTAACAACCCTAAAGTTCAGGCATCGCTGGCAGCGAACACTTTCACCATTACAGGCCATGCTGAGACAAAGCAGCTGACAGAAATGCTACCCAGTATCTTAAACCAGCTTGGTGCAGACAGTCTGACTAGTTTAAGAGGCCTGGCTGAAGCTCTGCCCAAACAATCCGTGGATGGAAAAGCACCACTTGCTACCGGAGAGGATGATGATGATGAAGTTCCAGATCTTGTGGAGAATTTTGATGAAGCTTCCAAGAATGAAGCAAACTGAATTGAGTCAACTTCTGAAGAAGATAAAACTTGAAGAAGTTACTGGGAACTGCTATTTTATATCATGACTCCTTTTTAAAATTTTGTTCATGGATCTGATAAAATCTAGATCTCTAATATTTTTAAGCCCAAGCCCCTTGGACACTGCAGCTCTTTTCAGTTTTTGCTTATATACAATTCATTCTTTGCAGCTAATTAAGCTGAAGAAGGCTGGGAATAAAGTTTGAAACAAGGTTAATAAAGTTCTTTGCCTAGAAAAAAAAAACAGACGATATTAGGTTACTGTGATAGAAGTCAGGAGTGTGGTTATCTGACAGGTGGTTGTAATTGAGTGGGAGCATAAGGGGGCTTCTAGAGTACTTGTCCTCCTTGATCTTCATACTAGTCACATGGGTATGTTTACTTTGTGAAAATTCATTGAGATCTTGCCCTTATGATTTGTACCATTTTATTTATTTATGATATATTCAATAAAAGGTTTATTTAAAATATTATATTCACATGAATACTTGTATAACAGTTACAACACAGAACATGATTTATAACCAAGTAAATTCTATTTGTTTGAATTTGCCCAATCTAAGAACATCTTATAAATGGAAATCCAAACATACAAAACAGAAAAATACTTATAGCACAAAAGCACCCTTCACTTTTCAAAGCGAAACATCAAATGCATGAAAGGAACAGGAATAACATCCATAGCAGATCCATTTTTCAATTTTGTAAATTTACCCTAAGGAAAGAAAGAACTCAACACACAAATCTTGCTGTGAAAATGTTCATTTTAAACATTATATCTGCTAGCAAAACACTAAAATCAACTCAAATATCCAAATACTGGATCAAGATTTAATAAAGTATGACATGCTGGTACAAGAAAATAACATACATGAAAAATGATGTATGGAAGGCCTTATAGGAACACTAAACAATTTTTTCAGGTACAATGTTAGGTAGAAAAATTCAAATGTAAGATGATATGTATATCATGATGCTAAAGAGAACCAATAGATAAGATGAAAAAATTAAAAACTTTTGTTGGAGTCATAGATTTATGGTTATACTTTTTGAAGGGGTAAACTTCCCTCCTTCCCCTATGAATATTCTTTCTCTCTCTCTCTCTCTTTTTGAAGATCTAATTGGCTTTATTAAACAATTCATGAATGGGAAAGCATCCCATCTAGCAAATAGAAGGGCACTCCTCTCCATGAATATTCTTTATTATTATTCAGTCAGTTAGGGTTCTTTTGTTGCAAGCAATAGAAACTAACTTTTTTTCTTTAATTTGAAAGAGAAAGCAAGCTAGAGAGGGAGAAAGAGAGAGAGAAAGAAAGAGAGAGAGAGAGCACAAGTATGAGGAGGAGTGGAGGGAGAGAGAGAGCAGACTCCCCGCTGAGAGCATGCAGGGACTTGATCCCAGGACTCTGGGATCATGACCGAGCCAAAGGCAGATGCTTAACCCACTGAGCCACCCAAGTATCCCCAACAGAAACTAACTTCTATTAAAAAATAGATTTCTGGAGCCATAGAGGAGTAACTTACAGAATCGAAGGAATAACTAAATGCCCAGAAGGAAAGAAGAAGAGCTAGGAAGTTTCAGAGATCTTAGAAACAAATATCTCTAACCAGTTCTCCCATATTCTGCCTCCTGATGACTTGTTTTAAATGCTTTCTGTCCCTCCTTGCCTCTACTCAATATTCAAATTATTGGGAGAGAAAATCAGATTGTCCTAGCCCAAGTCAAGTATCCACCTTGTCCTTTGATTGGCAACCACATCAGAACAGCCTGGAGTTGGGGAAAGCCACTTTCCTTTTTTTTTTTTTAAAGATTTATTTATTTATTCATGAGAGACATAGACTGAGAGAGAGAGGCAGAGACATAGGCAGAGGGAGAAGCAGGCTCCTCGCAGGGATCCTGATGCGGAACTTGATCCCGAATGCCAGGATCACGACCTGAGCTGAAGGCAGGGCCCAACCGCTGAGCCACTCAGGCTCCCAAAAGCCACTTTCCTAAGGGGGAAGGGTAGTGTTGTTACCAACCAGATGAACAGGGAGCCAAAAGATGCTGGGTGGAGAAAGCAACTGGTCCATGAAATCTTAATCATTTTTCCAATAAATCAGAATATTACTACCTTTGTCTTACAGTAAATGAAAATATGCTTATTGTAGAAAATTTGCACAATCTAGAGAAGTATATAGTAAAAGAGTAATGAAAAAGCCAGCATTCTTTATCCCACTATCCATAGCCTTGTGTTTACTATTCACTGCTACATAACAAATTACTCTCAAAACTAGAAGAGAGTAGAGTGCCTACTCTAATAGAGTGCCTAGAAGAAAGTAGATTAGTGGTTGCCTAGGGCTGGGAGTACTGGGGATGATAGCTAAAGAGCATAGGATTCTTTTTTTCTTTTTTTTTTCAGAATTTTTTTTTTATCATGTTCTAAAATTGGATTGTGATGGTTGCACAACTCTGAACACACTAAAACCATTGAGCTTTCAATGGGCAAATGTTAAGGTATGTGAATTATATCTTAATAAGGCTGTATTTAAAAAATGGTAGGGTAACCAACTATCCCAGTTTGCCCGGACTTCTCTGATTTTTGCACTGGCAATCCTGTATTCCAAGGAAACCCTTCAGTCCTGGTTAAACCTGGACAGCTGATCATCTTATACAAAATGTAGCAGTTTAGGGCAGCCCTCAAGGCCCAGCGGTTTAGCACCACCTTCGGCCCAGGGTGTGATCCTGGAGATCTGGAATCAAGTCCCACATCGGGCTGCCTGCATGGAGCCTGCTTCTCCCTCTGCCTGTGTCTCTGCCTCTCACTCTCTCTGTGTCTGTCATGAATAAATAAAATATTTTTTTAAAAAATGTAGCAGTTTAAGACAACAAACATTTGTTATCTCATAGTTTCTTTAGATTAAAAATCTAGGAGGAACTTAACTAGGAGACCCGGGGTCTCTTAAAAGGTTTCAGTCGAGATGTCATGAGGCTATAGTCATCTGAAGGCTTGACTTGAGCCAGAGGATTTGCTTTCGAATTTACTTGTGTGGTTTTGTCAAAGGGCCTCAATGACTTGCTATTTGGGTCTCTTCACAGAGTGCCCTCATGACATAGCAACTTGTTTTCCCCAAAAGCATATGATCTGAGAGGAAGACCCAGAGACTAACATGGATGCTGTAGAGTCTTTTTATAACCTAATCTTGAAAGTTGTGTGTCATCACTTCCGTCATACTTGATTTGTCACACATATCAACTCTGTAACAGTGTGAGAGGGAACTACACAAGGGTGTGAATACCAGGAAGCAACAACCATTGCCCTATTCTGGAGGCTGGCTCCCATAAGTGGTAATGCCAACTCTAACCCTACCAGCATTTTACTGAAATTTTGCTGATTTTTAAATTAAAACATGCCCATTATGGAACATATGGACAGTATAAGAGTACAAGAGAAAAACATTTTACAATGAATACTTTGTGTATAAATTTTACTTCTATCTCTGATTAGATGGGATAGATCTCTAGATGTGCAATTATTAGAGCATATGGTTTAAGTATCTTAAGACTTGTTACATATTGCCAAAATGCTTTTCTGATACTTGTGTGGTATCAGTGCCCATTTTGCCATACCCCTGTTAGCCTTAAGTATTATTGTTAGCAACTCTGCCAATTTTTATGAAAAATTTTATGTTTCAGAGTGTCTTTTTAAGTTAAGCATTTTCCCATGTGTAGTGGCCATTGCTAATAAATAAGCATGTAACAGGCCATAAATCCTCTCCAGATACATTCATGCATTCATTTAATATTTGTTGAATGCCTTCTGTAACAACATAGCTCCCAAGATGTTCACATTCACATGAAAGAGACTGGAGAAGGAAACAGTTCGATACATTCTAATCTGAGGAAATATTTAAAGAGCACAAAGTCAGGAAACCATTGGCAAGCTGATGAAGACTGAAAGAATTTTTTTCTTGTTGGAGCATCGAGTACAGAGGTGGAGGATGAGGGAGTCATAAGAGAATCAGACCAGACTACGGAATTCAAAGCAAATCTTATTGGTCTTCTCAGCTCTATTAAGGTTAGACCTTATACCTGAGGGTAAGGGGAAAGCAGGAAAGAGCTCTTTTGTTTTTTAGGTAATCTCTATGCCCAACATGGGGCTCAAACACAAGGCCCATAGATCAAGCGTTGCATGCTCTCCTGACAGAGCCAGTCAGGCACCCCAGGAAAGAGTTTTAAACATGAGAGTGAGATAATCAGATGTGTGTTTTTGGGATATCCCCTTGGCTAAACTGTGGACAAAAAAAACAGAGAGGGGTAATAATGGACATAGGACAGATGGCCAGAGAGGAAACAGCTATAGTCCGGGAAAGAGATAAAGATGGCCTGATCTTGGGGAGCAGTGGGAAGGATATTGAGAAATATCTGAGGTTTAAATAGCATCCCTTGTCCCAGTCTAGGTTTCTGAGAAAATTAAGTTATAAACGATTGGCAGATAGACTCCAAAACATGCCATTTTTGGCTGAAAACACAATGATGGAGGTTTTAGCTGAGTGTGAAAGCCAAATGAGATGCAAAGTAAACCCCTGGATCAGGGCAGGCCCCTCTGAGGTAAATGTGGTATGCCACCTGGATGCCTCTTCAGAAATAAAGGATGTATTCCCCTGGCTACAGGGAGTGCTGCAATAACCATCAGCTAGCAGCCTTCTTTTGGGAGGCCTTGGCTATAGAGAACCACTAGCCCAAAGTCATGTTCCCTTCCTGGGGTGGCTGGCATCCAATGACAGATCAGAGTGGGAATATAAAGTCATGGTCCCCTAGCCCCTATCTGAGACAACTTTGAAAGGTCATCTAAGCTTTGGAGCCATCCCCCTCAGGGTCACCTGAAGCCTTTATTGGTACTGAACCTCAACTCAACTTCTCCCTTTGTTCAATCTTGCTTCTCCCACCCCTCCCCTCCCCTCCCCTCCCCCCTCCCCTCCTCACTCCCTGTCCCTCCCCTTCCTTCTCCTCTCCTTCCCGCTCCTA